CTGGGGGTCGATTCTCATGAAAAACTCAATGGTGAAATCCGCATATCGATATCTGTCTCCGTTTCGGAGCTACAAGGTGTTTTTCAAAAATGGGCATTTTTGAAAAGTGGCTACAGATATTTTTTTGGCAAAAAATGTCTGTTTTTATGAGAATAACTGCGAAGCATTGAGTTTGTGATAAAAATTGTTCTCGAGGCACTGAAATATCGGCCTTCCTATATCTAGTTCAAGACTATAACTTGTTCGTCTTGAAAGAAAAGTTCTATTATGCAACTAGGTATACGGTGACTGATTTCAGTGCCTGAGGATCAATTTTCATGACAAATACAATGCTTTGAAGATGTTCTCATGAAAACAAAGACTTTTTTACAAAAAAAAGAGTTTCAGCTACTTTTAAAAAATTTCCATTTTTGAAAAACACCTTGTAACTCTAAAATAAAGATAGATATCAATATGCGGTTTCACCTTTGAATTTGTCATGTGAATTGATCAACAGGCCCCGACATCAGTTTTCTTCTATCTTGTACGGGAATAGGACTTTCCTTTTAAAAGTGCCTAATTTGGCCCACCCTGTACATGAACTTCCGGGGGAGGTGTGCGTTACGAATGCTAGGTCGTTGGTTGGTGTTATCTGGGATTTTCGCGAGGATGCCTATTCAACTTGCAGAACTGACGTTTTAAATCTGCGAATGATGACAATTTGGAAATATCAGTGGCGACAAGCGTTTCCTCACTCTTTAAAGGGCGTATAATGTGATGTTTGAGGCACTCTCTAGTTGCAACAAGTCAGAAATAGTATATTACACACCGAGGTGGGAAGAGATTCATTCCTGTCGTGAGATTAGTTAGTTAACCTAGACGCAAAGCATCGAGGTTAGCTATGATCTCGAGATAGGAATGAAACTTCCTACCGATGTTTGTATAAGTACTATTTTATTTTCTACCATCATATTTCGATCAAAATTAATAAATCTATGTTTCGTTGTGAACATAACTAAAATATAAGATGAGTGAGGGCGGGAGGTAGAGGTGTGTAATGTGACACTTCCCAACCATCAATGGCGTTAGTAATGACAAATAAAAATATTGAAATTGATGATGGCACATGAAAAAAAAGATAGTGGAAAAACATAATTGATTGTTAACTAATTGATATTTCCAATTTCCAGTCAGTTGAAGGCCCTCGAGCAAGGAATATCCGTCACGTGTAGCCGGTCCGTTTTAACTTCAAATGGTCAGGCAGCCCGCGGCGTATGTTTTTTGCTAGGCCTGCCTCAATTTACTTTGGAAAGACTTACCTCACATTGTGCAATTCTTTTAGTTTCATAGATAGTTTTAGATGGAGAATTTTCATTCAAAATGAGCAAAATTGGAAATCATCTGTTATATGTATCATCATTGAGTCCTGCTACAACTTACCAAAATAAATTATTTCATTACATATATATGTGTATGGTTTCTTTTCATACTGAACACACCCAATGCTCAAACTGAGTCCACAACAAAAACTACAATAAGACGAGCACATCTGATGGTATCCAAAGCACACTTTGCTGTTTTCGCCAACATATCCATGTAGATATTTTTGAAATGATTTATTCATATAACAAGTTGCAAAATGAACCTGCTTATGAACTACCTTAAAACTGAAAGAGTCATCCATTGATCACATGAGAATCAAAGTTGAATATCTATTAATGATTGTTGAATTTTCGGATATAAATAATTGTGTCACTTAATACGCTGTTTGTTACGAGACTACTTTTTTCGGAATAGACGCGCTCCTCTTGGAAAAAGCCACGTCGACCGGGCGTACTTAGAAGCTGTTCGAAGTTTTGCGAAAGATCTGGAAACGTTATGAAAACGGCAGAATGTCTTGGGTGAGATATAAATATCGGCAGGTAGCCCGACCCGATGGGAGTATTATTGGATAAAGCTATTTATTGATGGGCTGAATGACATTGAGATTCAGAGAGCCCTGCAACTAATGAATTTCGCGAAGAACAGTGGAGCTTTGGTCCGATCCGTGGAGGTAGAAGCAGCTTTCAGTACATCAAGACAGGCCCACCTCCGGAGAAAATTTCGAAGCTATTATAGCTATATATTCGTATAATAGTAAAAGTGCTCATATCATATGTTTTTTTTTTCGAAAATTTTTTTTTGGTATTTACGTATTCTTGTCTGAATATTCAAAAATATTTGCTTTTTCCTGCGATGTTGTTGCTAATGTGCCGTCGTTGGACAGTGGTGGAAATGAAAAATTTTTTTTTTTGACTCGACCGTTACTTGATGGAAATCCATGGCAAATGTAAAAACTCCACAAACGGTAAGATTTCCACAAAATTCTCAAACACACGACATGTTTCGCTAACACAGTAGCTTCGTCAGTATATCACCTGACGAAGCTACTGTATCAGCGAAACATGTCGTGTGTGAGAATTTTGTGGAAATCTTATCTTTGTGAAGTTTTTACATTAGTGCAATTATTATTCGAGAAAGTGCTGGGGAAAATTGACTCGAAGCCAACAAAATCGAACCTGCTATATATAATGATAATAATTAAATGACTTTATTGTATTCAACAGTTACAATATTATAGTAAATTAAAATAGTGCCTACCTATAGGAATGAGAAAACAAAAGGCGAAGTTCAATTCGGATGTTGCAAGCGTCACCAAATAGCTCTTCCACTAAACATCATTATCAATGGTAAATATGCACACTGAATTGATTTATTGATATGTTTCTCGTATCACAGGTTGTCATCTATTAAACCCCCGAAGCTCCTGGAACTAACTGCAGTGATTTATTATCAATACAAATATCAATTGTTATACCTTTCATTTCGATTCTTTTTTGGCCCGAATAACATGACATTAGATGTATTATCATTCATATCCAGACAATGATCGGTACATGAATTCACAAATGATTGAAGATCTCTGTTTATTAGTATACAAGCATTTTCAGCTGTTTGAGGTGAAAAACTATTGTAGAATACATTCTGTATATGATGATTGTTTTATATAGTTACTTTGTATTATGATTATGATTATGAAGTCTAATAAAATATTGAATATCTCGACTAGAAGACGAAATTGACGACTGTTACAACTATAATAAAGCTGAGTGTCGTCTGCATATAAGTGAACACTACATGAAGTGATGCTTCTCAGTATATTTGAAGAGTACATACAAAACAATGAAGGACCCAAAATTGACCCTTGTGGCACTCCAGAATTGAGTGGTAGATACCGTGATTCAAGACCATTCAAACTAACTTTTTGTTGCCTATTCGTGATATACTCGTCTAACAGTGAAATAAGATTCAGATAGTCCTATATAATGCGAAATTGCTAGCAATAAGTCGTAGTTAATTGTGTCAGATGCACGACCGAAGACTAGTAAAACTAGGACTGTACATTTTCCTTGATCAGTAGACCTTAATCTATCATCCACAATATGCAGGAGAGCTGTTGAACAACTGAAACCCTTCCTGAAACCCGATTGTGTCGACTAGATTGAATATTTTAGATAGATTGCCTTTATAGCCTTACCTGGTATGTTCGATTGCTGAGATAGGAAGCAAAGAATTCGAGAGTTTCCGATTAGCTCTATTTTGAAATAGCTCTTTCAATAGAATATCCTTGTCAAATGCTTTTCGGAAGTCAATATACCGGATGGCCCATTCAAGACGATCCACCCTGAATAACTCTTGAACACATGATAGAATGAAAAAATGCTCAGACACGTCAACTTTTATTTCTTGGAGGACATAATTTGAGATGAGTTTGTCATCTGTCATGACTTCCCCCTCCCCTAGAGAACCACCCTTTCAAGAATTTCAAATAGGAACATGGGTCGAGTGATACCTCATTCGAAAGGTATTTTCACCCAGATAATAACTGTGTTTTGTTTTTGAAAATTGATTGAATAGTTTTTGAAATAATGGGTGTAGCCCATTCAAGACGATCCACCCTGAATAACATTTGAACACATGATAGAATGAAAGAATGCCCAGACACGTCAACTTTCATTTCTTGGGGACATAATTTGAGATGGATTTGTCATAATTCCCCCCTCCCCTAGAGAACCACCCTTTCACGTCTAGTGTGCCTCGATCCATGTATTTAAGCACATTCTGCCACAAGACTAGCAAATTGGTGGATGTTGATTTATTTGGTAAAAAGCCATGTTGTTCTTCACAAATATGATCCTTCACATGAATTATCTGTTTGAACAATTTCGCAATAGAACATAATACCAATATTGGTCTGTAATTTTCGACTTGTGATACATTCTGATTATTATTAAGTTGAATATATACAGGGTGAGTCATGAGGAACTGTACATACTCCTCCCACGAATAGAGGCCCTTGAGATGAATATCTAATGACTATCAGAAAGTGTCTTCTTTTCTTTTTTACCAATATAATGGGTGAGTTATGAGATTTGGCAAAAACATCTTTTGGTCATAACTTTCCAACAGCTTCTTCGATTCGTCTGATTTTTTCAAGGAGTATTCCGCTACTACATATATTGATAAAGAAGTGGGGAAGACACTTTCTGATGGACATACATAGGTATTCTTCTCAGGGGCCTCTATTCGTGGTAGGAGTATGTACAGTTCCTCATGACTCACCCTGTATATCAAGGGTTTCTGTAAAAAATGCACAACCTTTCATAATATAAGATGGATTTTTATTCACGCCCGTAATATATATCAATATTAATTCTTGATAGGTAATTCTGATTCAATTTTTGCCTATCTGTGGTGACACCTCTTAACTTTGTCTAGTCAGATTGAAAGAATTAAAAACGGCAACAATTTCTTCAAAAATATCTTTTTCCCTTATAGTACCTACCTTTCATGGCACGAATGTTAGACAATTTGTTATTCTGATTTTTTTTCGACTAATATGGAAAACAAAATAGGTTGCCCATGCCTGCCTAAGATGTTATATAATTATAAAATGATATCAGTAATGCTATTTAATGTCACTATACAATTTTGAATTTTTCTATGCCATCTAACAACCTCGACATCTGGTTGTCTAAATCTTCTGGACGGTCAGAGTTTAATGATAATTTCATCAACTGGAGATCTCCGATATCGGATTGGTTCATTTTTTCCATCTTTTCTTCAATACCTCTCATCAAAATTGATAACAAAAGATCCACAACCTGAAATTGATACAAATTAATCACTATTTTTAGAGATCGATTGAAAAACCTGACGTGTATACAAGGTGTCCGCATAAAGTATCTCCGATAATATTTGCGATAGAAAGAAAATGACCAAGGTGCCCCAGCGTCTTCTTTTGCTTTTGAAACAATATCAATGTTCAATAATAGAATAGGTACATAATTTCCTTCGATCGTCATTCTTCAGTTGTTTTACTGGGTATATTTTACAAAGGAGTTGAATAATTATGGATAATGTCGTGATATTATTGAAATGTCAATCAATGAATCAATCAAAACTGACCTTTATTGTCAAAGAATCATTCATCTTCGGGTTTTTGATCGATGAATGATGTCTGGTGTGGATCAAACAGACTGTGTCCAAATAAAGAGGCAGGTGAGAGTAACAATTTGTTGACTGGTATAAAGTGGTCTACAATGGCCACGTTTATACCGTATCTTGGAAAGCTGACTAATGACTATATTTAGACTAAATACTCTTGGTCAGTTTGGTATAAACTGTATACTTAGTAAAGTTACCAGCTTGGTTTGGTGCCGAAATTTGTTGCGTACGAGACTAAAATAGTATGATGACCAAGACGGTGTAAACATTTTGGTCTACTTTGGTATAACCTTGACTTGACTGCAAGTGGCACTTATTTCATGAATTTTCATAATAATATTCCATTCAATTTCAGCTAATTTCGTATCCTACTAAACGGTTTTATTCTTAATTTACGAATTCTGGTGGAATTCCACAACCTAACCTCAAACAAATAATCAAATCAAAACAAAGTTGGTAACGTTAGTCAACTGAAGATACATGGTGTAAATATGCGTTAACTAAGACATTTGGTCTGAATTTAGTTAGATCTCCTTGGTAAGCATACCAACTATCCATTCGGTATAAACGTGACTAATGGTCCCTCGCTTTGGCCTTACATAAATAGCGAAATTTCCCTCTTCTATAGAATAAAGATAGAATTCAACAGATGTTGGCTACAAAAACCTCAGAAGGGTATGCCGTGCCTGATATGAGACTCTATGAGAGAGAAATACAGCATTAGCAGGACCAAGCTCATTTGATACGTAACTCTAATGGCAGAGCAACCTGATGCTAATCTTTTTTTAGTGACGTTACATGCTCTTGAAATCCCAATTTTCTGTCAATATGTACACCTAGGAATTCAGTATTTGCTGTTTTCAACTTGATATGTACTCAAAGTCAGGACGTTCAATATCAAATTTGAAGATAATATTATTTTTCTAATTTTGACACGTAATGTGACACCTTTCAAAGCTGACAAATTTTTTTAACCAACTTACTTTGAGTAACTAGTTGCGTAAAGTAAAATATTACATAACTGGTGATTCATTACAACACCAGTTACGTAATGAAAATATGGATGGACGAAGAGAATATTGCATTTTGTGCTGCTTCCTTGAATCAGCCATTTTCCACCAATGAAAGTATCAAACGAGTCTATTTCGTGAATTTCGTCGTTGATTTTTGACCACATTATTGTTTGACGTCCAAAATCCATCTTCACACAAAATGGCGGGTTTCCTAACTGGTTATATAAATATCTATTTTTCTGTGACGGGAGAAAAGTTTGATAATTCATCTCTGTTGACAGGTTATAATGTCGCTTTTCATAAATTACTATTTTTCCACAGGAAAAAGTGAGTACTTTTTTACCGAAGAATATACAGTGTGACCCACTTCTAATGGAAACACCCCTGTATCTTAGGTAATCGTGGGGTAAGAATGCTGAAATTTGCTGGAGCGAGAGATATACCAACTATTCATACTTTTCCTGAAAACTTTTCATTTCTGAAAAATTAAATCTTACGTAATTGACTTCATCTTTGGACTTTCTCTTCCTCCTGCAAATTTCAGAACCCTACCTCAATAAAATTTAATTTTTCTGAACTGAGAATTTTCTAGGAAATCTATGAATAGTTAGTGAATTGGGCGTCTTAATTCCGAATCCGAAGTGATTTTCAACCTATTTTGACTCCTAATATAATTTTCCGGAAATTGGGGTGGTTCCATGGCTGTTGGCGAGCAGTGTATATCACTGAAGATGATCCCACTTGGTCATAGAGTGCATTTTTGGTAAATCTCTCGCTCCAGCAAAATTCTGAATCCTTACCCAACGACTACGTAAGATACAGGAGTGTTTCCATTAGAAGTGGGTCACACTGTATATATACACTGTTGATGGCTTTTGCTGTGCTGATTCCGGAGAATAAGCCAATAAAGAACACCGTCTCCGAGAAAGAACTGCAAATCCTTTTATCTTCCATTCTACCTCGCGGTCACGTCAATCACTAAAGAACCACTAAGTTCGTAATTTTTTTAAATCAAATCACAGAATTAGACTGACAGATATTTGTCAAAAGAATCATAAAGATGCCTGCAACGCAGGTGTACTTCCTGTTAAATTGTTTTGACCTTTTTCCTGTCACACACAAAAAAAGTGTATTATTCACGGAAAAAATATTAGATTTTAGCTCCCGGTTTTTTGTCACGATACAACCTCAAGCTAAAATCTACTACTTTTTTCCCTTGTATAATAAATAACTATTGTTTTCTCCACATTGAAGCAGGGAGAATTTGATACATACAGGATTTAACTTCGTTGAGTTCCTGAGATACAACTGTTTTTAAAGTCCGTGGATAAAATGTCTACGACCCGCAGAAGCGAAAGAAAGAACAAAGGTGTACTTCCTAGTAGGTATACAGACGCAGAAACTGATAATATAATAATTGATGATACTAAAAGCAAATCAAAGTCATCAATGACAAGCAGAACAAGATTCGATGTAGAAGTTGTTGAAAGTAGAAAAAGCTTAGCAGGTAGCAATAAAGTTGATGGATGTAGTGAAATCTCAGCGAGTAAGAAGAGAGAAGGTGAAAAAAGTGGCAGACATGGATCCAAAGCTCCTACAAATAATTCTAAAGCGACAAGTAAGGCGACAAGTAAAAGTACAATTATGAAACGTCAACTAGAAACAGAACTGGAAGCTGAAAGACGTATGGTCGAATTGGAGAAGAAACTCATAATGAAAGAAATGGAATTGAAGAAAGCGGCTTTACAAGAGGAATATTCGGAGCAGGAATCGGAGATTGAGGAGGGTCCCATTGAAAATCGTGACGAAATCCAACATTGGATAAATGATATCGAAATTCCTACTAATAATCAATGTGTTTTAAGTTCTAGGTCTGACAAAGGTATTTATCCCGACATCGATTTGAGTGGTGAGACAGGGATAAGGCCAAAAACTGAAGAGAGATTGAAGAAAGAAAAGCCAGAAAAGCAGTTGTCGCAGTTTTTAGCAAGACAATCTGAAAGTTAAGGAACTCCCGTCTTTTTCTGGAGATCCAACAGAATGGCTGCAATTCATTACTGCTTTCAAAGAGTCTACTGAAATGTGTGGTTTTAGCAATAGGGAAAATATTGCAAGACTCCAGAGGTGTTTGAAGGGCAAAGCAAAGGAGACAGTGCAAGCTTTGTTATACTTTACCTTTGAAGTAGATAAAATCTTTGACTCACTGGAAGAAAGGTATGGAAAATCCGATTTGATTATATGTGACATGATTTCAAGTGTTAAAAAAAATCCCAGTTTGAGAGAGGATAAGCTTGATCACATAATTGACTTCTCATATTCATTGAAAAGGAACATTCTCAGATATATTTATGAATACAAAAAAAATGGATATATATATATATATATAAAGAAATTCATGGAGGTTTCGCATTCTCACTGTGATGAAAATATTAATTTTCACGGTTTATTCAACAGAAAACAACTGCTTTCCTGGCTATATGCCACGACGAATATTGAATTACATCTATTGAACACGATGAGAATTTGAAAACAAAATCTTCTGAAGTAGAGAATTTGCAATGTTCCTTTTCAATACTTTCACCCAATCTAGGGGTTCAAACTTGAACGATGGAAAATTGTTATTTTTATAGACCTCAATCGCAGATTCGTGATTAGTTTTTTTTTCTCAATTCAGAATTTCTTTCCACGTCCTGTATGATGAATGTCAATTCATCATACATAAAAAAAAATCTCATATTCAGTTCAAAATCTGGCAGTGACAGTGACAAGTCTGAAAAATCAACAATATCTTTCAAATCCGTAATTGTTGATTAAAATTGTTTTTAAACTGACTCCAAATTTGAAATTGGAATGGGACAAATAGTTATGTTTATGGAACGAAGCCAATAAAATAACGACTATTTTAGATTTGTCTGTATGGTTCAATGGAATAACTGAAGCTCTCAACTGCGTTGTTGTTCCTGATTCTGAATCCGAAAGAAGAAAGAAATTCGTATGCACTACAACAGAAGACAAATCTATTGGGTGTTGCTTAAATTGCAAAATGACCAACTACAAGCTCAATAAATGCCATTTTTTCAAGAAGTTGGAAGTCGATAAGAGATGGGATTTGGTAAGAAGTAAGATAATTTGTTTCTGTTGCTTAGGAGTGACCCATCGAGTGAAATATTGTCGTAAAAGGAAAAAATGCAGCATAATCAGTTGCATCAAATCTCATCACCAGTTGCTACACACGGAAGAATCGAATCATGCAAGTTCTTCAGACTCCTGTGAAGTTGTAGCCGTGAGTCATCATTCGAGAGAAGATGAAGGAAATTATATTACGAGTAGCACGTGTTATTCTATATGGACCCAATAACGAAATTCATACTCACGCATTATTCGACGAGGCTTCTACCATCACCTTGATTGACGAAGAATTAGCTGGAAAGTTAGGATCATCCGGTCCAATCGCCCCGCTGATACTTCGTTGGACTAATTCAATGACCAGTGAAGAGAGTGAATCAAGAAATATCAATTTAAGAAGAATCCTATCTTTAGGCAAGAATATGGTAAGAAACTTGATGAATATGTTTCGAAAGGCTATGCATCGAAAGTATCTCAGGAAAAATCCAATGAAAATGAGATTTGGTATTTACCTCATT